ATTTTTATGATGTTTTTTGGGTTTGTTTATAGAAATTTAATGATGTAGAATTTATTTATATCATTAGTGTTAAGAATGGGTATATGACTAGAGATCTAAACTTTTTCCTATCTATTATGTGTGGATGATTGACTGACTGACTTTATCTTGAAAGGTGTTAGAGTGTAGCAATTTTCATTAAATGGGGTAAATTTCATAAAAATTAACACAAAAAATCTGTTTAATTAAGTTAAATCTATGTGTACAAGCTGTACCACGTAGTTGTACTACCATACTCTTTTATCATTTCTCACTGATATGGGTGTCCTTAGTAGAAAAGGAATGGTGAAATATAAATTTGCTCCCCATGTTTTGCTCCGTTTTCAAATTTTCATCCATGTGTTTTTTAATTTGACTAATTCGATCATCGTGTAAACCAATGACTTCTGAAAGGAATCTACGTCTTTCTGAGACTAAGAAAGGGTTTGTATGACTGGGTAAAGTAAAGTTATATATGTTTCTCCAACTTCAACATGTTGTTACCAAGTTGACAAACAAAACTACGGGTTTGTGTGACTGTGTTTCTTCTTGTACTTACTTTTCATGTTGGGCAGGTCAATTTTTATTTGTAGCTAGAGCAACATTCGAAGAAACATCCTTAGTTATTGACCAACACCTTACACAAAAAGGAAACCTAATAATATCTTATCCATAAAAGTGTTGAAAGTGTTTGTCCTACATTGAAAAATTAAGGGACTTAGCATGAGTTTATAAGGAGTTGGGCTACTCTCCCAATTGCCAATTGATTTTAAAGTGGAACCTCAACTTCCTTCATAGTATCAGAATAAGACTTTACGTGTTGAGTCCAATGGCCACATCAAACTTTAACGTACGATCTCATGCATGTGTGTGCTTTCTTCAACGAGTTGCACAAAAATTTTGTCAAATCCATTCTCTTCAAAGAGAGGCTTTTGACATAATTGGTTAAAATGGAGAGTCAAGGTTACGTTAAAGTTTCAAAGCAAGACAATTTGATTTGTTAAACTAGACTTTCATTTCAAACCAAATCTTTTGCTGTTCAAATATAAATGTCTAAGCTAACCAATTATTCAATAGAACGCACACGTGCGATGTGCATATAAACTTTTTTGACCATATATTTCATAAAAAGAAATAAGACATTGAAGTTTGATAAACCATTTCCTTACTGGCGATTTAAGAAAAAAAACCAACCCGAACCCAAGAACGAAATTTCTTTGCATCCAACGATAGTCACATCACATTGTTAGGTATTGCAGGACGGCAAACTATATTGTGCGTATCTGCTGCACCACATGGTATGCCGTTCTATGTGGCAACGCTTCACTCATATTATTACGTGTATATGTACTTAATATTGAAGAATATATATAAGTTCCACATCGGATGATTGACTAAATAAAATACAACTTATAATAAGTGGTTCCACTCTTAATAGCACGGAAGCCTTTTGTGATAAAACCTAACACCTTTTGAACTTTGTAAACGGTTAAGTTAAAAAACAATATCTTCGTGAGAACAGTTGAAAAGATGAAGTATGTATCAGAACATATTGACATTGTCAACAGCTGATGAATTGGAGAGACTGAAAGAAAAAGACTTGCAAGTATCCCAAATGTTATACACATGTAACTGGATTATAGCTGGAAAATATGTGTTCATTTGAGTTAAACGTATGGACAACAACGAAAGTCTTCGTTTTCTTTTATAATGGCCAATTGAATTTGAACCGACACACTTTTGGTCAGTACTGCAAGAAACAAGACATTAATAGATTCCAGGTTTTGCTGAGTGTTCATAGCAACTTGGCCAAGTCATGTAATTAATTCTAGGTTTGTCTGTTGAATTGTTCTATCCACTCTGCAGAACTTAGCTGTAACCCAGTAACCAAACCCTAGTCTCAGTTGAATTTATAGTCGTTATATTAATTGTACAAGCCAAACGGTTGAGGGTCCAAATTTCTCATCATTCTTAGTCTTTAATTATAATTTGGTTGATCAGTTTGACGATTTTAATTTGTAAGATGAACATTCCACAATGACTATGTATATATATATATAATATATCTCCTGTTTTGGTCATACTATTGACAGATCTATTATGCATTTATGTGATTCTTCCATAGTTGTTGGCTAACTAAACAGACTTCCGTTTGGTGTGATATATATATGTTGATCTTTGATGAGAATTTTGAAAGTTCCATGCTTTGACTTTGCGTTGACAAACATTATATAGGAAAAGCTTCATATTACTGAAAATGTTATTCGTAACAAGAATGATATTAGTCATAAAATTTTAGGTCATGTTGCATCAACACCTGTAACGGAGGCGAAACCACTTGTATAGATTTCATCTTTATTGGAGAAGTGGTTTACAATATGAAAGTTTCTAGCATTAATCTTGGAAGTATATATGTTCTTCATTTAGATATTAGATATCTTTCTAGAGCAGTTTTACCAACAACCCTCTTTTGTACCAAAAGTTCCTTTTTGAAATCTCCCCAAGTGAAGGGCTGATACTTTTTAGGGTTGGTTTTTGGGTCCATGAGCTCAGGAGGGCACTCAATGAGGGCAGAATTACTAGGGCTCATGAAATATGCTGCTGATAGCCTATTCTTCTCCTTGTTAACCACTGCTCTGTGCACTACACTCCTCAGCCTCCCATTAGTCCAAGCCTGCCAGCAATGAAAACAAATTTATAAACGAAACAAAATTTCCTCATACCAAATTGTGAATTTGACCCATTGATTATGTTGAATCCTATTTAAATGTGTGGTCCATATTCACAATTTGACAATATAAACATTTGTTCGGCAACAAAACAATAGTATCTAAACTAAATCTAATTATATAATGCACAATTGCATATGAGAGAGAAATTACTTCAAGGGTGTCACCAATATTGATGATGAAAGAATTTTGCACAGGGCGGATACCAATCCATTTGTTGTCACTCATCAGAACTTGAAGCCCACCAACATCATCTTGCAGCAATATGGTTAACGTATGGGGGTCTGAATGGCTCCCAAGCCCAAGACATTTTTCTGGGAGAGGACAAGGTGGATATCTGTTGACCCTGATCATGGTAGCCTCTTTCTCTTCAAAGTTCTTCTTAAAAAACTCATCTGGAAGGCCCAGTCCATGAGCTAACATCTCCAAAATGGTCATTCCTAAATTGTCTAATGCATTCAAGTAGCCGATCATGGCATTGCTGATACATATATTCCAAAGATTATAATTATTTTATACTATGATCAATGAATAAAACTATTTGGCCACAATGAATAAAACCATATGTTGGGTTAAATAAATAAAATAAAACTATATTTTTAGCTACAAAGTGTTCAACGACAAAACAATCTAATTGGAAGATGACATGTAAAATTGTCATAAAATTTAAACACATAATTTTCCAATTAGAGTATATTGTGTCACTTAGTATTGTCACATGCCAGGAATCCCGAAGCATCAAGAAATATGGTTCTAAAGTCAGTGGCCAAGAATTCAAGTATTTAGAGGATATGAAATTCTTACCTAAATGGCTGATGTTGATCACCAAAAACCTTTGTAGCAAATCCAACTACCTGTTGTGGGGACTGGAGCAATTGCAAGATCTCTGCCCAAGGCAAATTTTTTCCATAATCAGGATTTGTGGCACAGTAACCCAGTGGTAAACTAGCTGATCTAACACCCTTCAACTTCTGCTCCATTGGAAGATCAAAAAGCCCATTTAAGCTCCCTATGAAACTCTCTATGGTCTCCAGAGCAACCCCATGATCCACTAGCTTGAAGAACCCCCACTTCTCACAAGCCCTCACCATGACTTGGCAAACGTTGTCATAGTTAGGGTTTTTCCTCCCATCCAAAACCCCTTGGAGACTTATGACAGGGATGTCATCTGCATCTGCAAAATCATCATGGTTAATTTCTGGCCATTCTTCTGTGGACCAGATGAAATTCTTGACACTTAGCTTGTGCCCCATGGAGGAAAGTGACTCAACATATTGGTCTTCAATTTGTAGAGCCATGCCAAAGTCTCAAAGATTAGGGTTTGCAATTTCCTTTGCTCAATTCAGCATTAATTTGAATCAGAAAATTCATGTATATAAATGATTCATTTTGTATAGCCATATAGTGTGCTTTGTTAAGTGTGATAAAATTCAAGTTGGTTGTAGTTTTCAAGGAGATTCAATGTTGGCTTATAGTATCATTGTTGCCTAGGATTTATAACGAGGTTGTCTTTTAGTGGAAAAACATGAGATTCTATTGGAGATAACTAAGATTCCAACAAAACAAAGTAGAGAGAGAATGGAATATGTGAGCCGCCCAATTGGGCAATGGAATTGAAATCGCGAGCAATTGTTTAACCACTAACAACAGAGCCGTGTGAGGCAAACAATGAGTGCATCATATGATGTCCTTTGCGCCAACGGGCCAACTAACAAATAAAGGAAAATATTCTAAACCTGATTTTTATAAAAGTTTTTCTCACTGACCTGATTTGTTTTTGTTACGTAGAAATGGATCAAGCACTTTATCTATTCTAGTCGTAACTCATGACTCTACCCTCCTCATTAGATGGTATCAGTAGAATTCCCATACCACATGGATGCAAGGATAAAGCATAACGAGTTAATTTATCTATGAATCGCTTTATTAGCCTTTCGAAAGACAAAAGCACATGGGTTAATTTCTGGCCATTCTTCTGTGGACCAGATGAAATTCTTGACACTTAGCTTGTGCCCCATGGAGGAAAGCGACTCAACATATTGGTCTTCAATTTCTAGAGAGCCTATGATAGTCAAAGACGCCTTTTTATTTTGTTTTGAAAATGGCAGTGATAGACAAAGAAAGATGATATCATTAGCTAGGGACCTGAAAGTGAAAGACAAACCGTGTGGGCCACCTGGGAAGAGCTTTTCCACCACACTGCGATTTCCAAGAAGCTCTCTCATTTTCTCTTTATTCCATTATTGCCTTTACTAAAACCTTTTCTCCACTAATCCCATAACACTATAGCATCTTCTTCTCGTTGTTTTCAGTTTGGGCAGGATGGAAATCAGATAATTAAAGAAAGAAAGTAGAGGATCTGTCTTGGAAAGTTCCTTTCTTTTTCTATGTAAATTCCTCTGTTTTCTCAGTAACCAAACAGAGGTATTTATGTCTCAAAGAAAAGCACTTGCTTATTAGCTGTGGAAATTGAGAGAGCAACAACTGGTTTCCTGGTTTGCAAGTACTCGTCGTGGAGATCAGTCTTCTTCTGAGCCATCTTTAACACATAGTAGTAATCTTTACAGACCCTCCTTGAGTTTCAGGGATGAGGGCTACTTCAGAATCAGAAGAGTGGATATTTTTAGCCACTAACCTTGGCCTAGAGATGTTGTCAGCTGCTTGTGATCAGGCTTCCTCCCCAAGAAGACCACACTTTGCACTATTTGGTATGCTGTTGGCTATTGCAGCTGTTCTCATTTCCATCGGGGAGCTAATTTACAAAGGTAAAAAGGAAAGAGTAGTGTTCAGGAGTTGGGGAATGCTCGGGTGGTTTTATCATCCACCACCTCCTCTATATAAGCGTTTTGGTACTCTTCCTGACATTTTTGGACTAGTTGCTGGCATCTCACAGTGCATTTGCTCTATGGTTCAGTATGTTTACTGCCTTCGGCATGCTGATAATCCTTTCAAAGTATCCCTTTTGCCTGCCATATTTCTTGTGTGTTTAGGTGCTTCAAAACTAATTAACAACCGAATGAACGCCGATACCACTGATAACAAGGACTCCAGGGAAAATTCTTCAAGGTAAACACGAATTAAACTGCTCATCTGCTTCTTAATTAATTTGCATATTAAAATCTTTTTGCAGCTTTTTAGTCTGACATAATACAAAAGGAAGGCTTCTTCTTCTTTATTTATTTATTTAGTTTTGGAAGGAGACGAGATGGAAATTTTAAGAAATAATTAAGGGGGATTTTAATGGATATCATATCACATGAGAATTCTACTTTATTTCAATTAGCACAAAATGTAAAGACTAAAGTGTGAGCGGATGGAGAGAGAGGCGCTAATTAAGCTAGCTCTCTATCTCTAATAAACAAGACAGTCGTAAAAGATTGCTTTATTTTCTCTGTTTGCTTTTTCATCTGTATGCATGGCTTCCATTCCACTGATAGAAAATATTCTCTCAATCTGTTGGTTTGTAGTACGGTAGAAACTTTGTGGCATGCAATCCCGTCTCGTGATGATCAGGAGGTAGGTACCAATTTAATTACGATTTAAAGTAAATTATTTCCAAAACAATATATATATATACACACACACACGCACATATATAACCTTGAAATATTAATTTAAAAGTTGTCATTCGTATATATATCATGCGAATAACTGAATAAAATAAAGGAAATCATGTTTCCATATTCTCTGTGTAATAAAATGAAATTTACCCTTTTATTTATTCATCGTATTTGTATGCATATCATATACATATCTTTTATTTCGGGAGGACATGATGTATCCAAAAGGCTTAAGTTAGGAAGTCCCATATGAAGGCCAAACTGATGAAGATGATGAAGTCTCATATGTATCACGGAATGTCAATTTGGAGCTCACTTTGGGAAGGCCACATTGGGATTGAATACAATAAAGAAAAATTAGGTATTAGACATAACAACTAATTAGGATTTGAGACAGAGTATTTCTGTTTGAGTTTTAATATCTAGGAATGAAATTTTGTTTTGAATTAGGCCAAAGAGAAGGCTCATATGTGAAATAATTTTTTTTTTAAAAAAAAACCATTGACTGTTAATATAAATATTGCGTAACTGACAAAATACCACAAAAACAAGGTTGGTGAAGTGGTATGTCAATGAGGCTTTCCTTCTTTAAGGGTCAAGATTTGAGTCTCTTCATGCACACTAAATTTCTCACATTTTTAGGTTGAGGGCAACATAGAGCAGGAGCGGCAGCAGAAGGGGTTGCAGCAGGAGCTGCAGCTGCGGCAGC